GTGTGGCTGTATGTATGTATCTGCATGCGTACAATCGGAGAATGAAAGCCGGAAATGATGATGAACCAGATCAATGGATGAGGATGATAAGAGGATAATGTATGTAGTATGATATATGGAACAAACTCGACAGGATAGATGATAAATAAAAACCAAGGATACCAATCTCTCCCCGTCTCAACCGGAAAAGAGGAACAAGCGTCAGCACCGCTGGCGATGGTTTTGAACAGAAACAACCTCAGGTTGCTGGATGAAATGACAACGGTTTTGGGTAGAAATAAAGAACCGAGATGACAATCGGACGCAATGCACAGGACGGGACAAATGCTGAACCAGCGGGGAGGCAAATTAAAGGAAGGCGTGATCATGTCGGGTGATGATAATGAAGAAAACATTCCCAACTCCATGATTCCAATAAAGGATAGACAGTGCCGCGAAGAAAATGAGTGTCGTCATGATCACAATTCGTATGCTTTTGACATCCGGGTCAACCAAGGGCCAGCCACTTGTAAGCATCAAAGGAGAGACCGTTATGTGCGATCGTATTAGAGGTGGAGCATTCCGTCCGGAAGGTGCATGAAAGATTGCCGGGATCCAGTTGCTGCAGGCAGGCAGTCTAGTCTTTCCAATCCCAGACTTGCCTTACGAAGTTGGCCATGTTGACCTTTTTGTTTTTCATGTCCAGCATCCAAGGATGTTCGAGCATCCGCCAGGGAGTCGCTCGTCGCGGGGGTTCTTTCTCCAAACTAGACGGAAAGTTAGTATAATTCATACACCAGTAGACTTTTTTTTTTTTTTTTTTCAACGTACCAGCATTCGATGAAGTATTTGAAATTCTCGGACCATCGAATACCGTTGTCCGGCTCATCCTTCAGCTTGGGAATCGGTTGGCGGACAATGTAGGTCAGTAGATCGATCAAACCGGCGCGTGGCTGCATTTCGGTGCCGTCGGCAGGGAAGGGGAAGCGATGCTGGGCGACTTCGAGCAAGGTCACACCGAGTGACCACACGTCGGAGGTGATGGTGTATGATTGGCCAGTGATGCGTTCAGGGGCCATGTAGTACGATGTGCCAATAAACGTATTGGCGTCTCCCTTGGTACCAAACTCTCCACTGACACCAAAGTCACAAAGCTTGACCTGACCATTCCGGCAGAGGAGAATATTCGATGGTTTGATATCTGCAATCCAATGTTAGCCGGATGATGAATAACTGCGAATTTAAAACTTGACTGACCTCGGTGAATAATCTTTCTGCTATGAAGGTAGGTCAACCCGTTCAAGACGCCCTCGGCGACCTTGCCTAGCACTTTCTCTCCCGTCCGTCCACCAAGCTTCTTGACCTCCTTGTAGATACTGTCCAAGCTGCCACCTTCGCAGAATTCCATTGCAATAGAAATGGTCCCCGTTGACTTGTCCATGAAAGCACCGTAGTAGCGACAGATGTGCTCTGAGGCACAATCTTTGTTGAAGTTGAGTTCTCGAACAATCTGCTTCTTCACATCGGGGTTGGGGTCCGTAGTGATTATCTAGAGAGTGTATTAGCATCCAACTACCAGACAATGCGAAATGAAAGAAACCCACCTTCAACGCAAACACCGTCTTGCCCTCCTTGAGCTTGCATCGAGTGACAGCACCTCCAGCGCCCTCACCCAAGCTACCCAACTCCACGATCTTTTTCTGCTCACTCGCTGCAAGCCAAGCTTCATCATCCAAATCATCCACATCGAGGGGCCTGCCCTTTTCCAGGCTCATCTTGTCCAGATCCGGAATTAGGCTGTTCACACTGTTATCGCGCTCCATCTGTACCCCACTCTCCCGGTCGGAATAAACAGAAATCGCTGACGACGGATCCGGAGTGCTGCCGTGAGGCTGGCGAAGGCCCATGGCGAACGATAGGGCTGAATAGTTGGAGGAGGAAGCGGAGGCGGGCCCACTGGCCTTCCCGTCCAGGTACGTGAAGCTACCCGATCTCGAGTGTCCGTTCGGTTCGTTCAAGCCGGTGGTCGCCAACGGTGGGGGAGCGGGTCGACTCTTCACTTGTTGCACATTCTGACTGCTGCCCATGGGAGTTTTCAGGCGTAGCTGGGGAGGCGCTGGGCGAGCAGCTGGGCGCTGCAGCTGAGGGACCTCTGCTGGAGCAGCAGGCGCGGGAGCGGGAGCGGCGGCGGCGGTAGCGACAGGAACGCCGGTTCCCGTGACCGGACGAACATTTGGAGATGGAGGGATTCCCAAGGTGAGTTTGGGAGGTCGGGAACCACTGTTGTTGCCGCGGTTGCCAGGTACGGGCGGCTTGAGGAGAGGAACCGGCGAGGATGACATTGCGAGATTGTTTTGCCTCTCACCAGGCAAAAACAACTCGTTGGGGTCAGCCAAGGTAGCCAGATCGGCGGTGTTTGAGTGGGACACTTTGAAAGAGGGACGGGGGGAAAACTGGGGAAAGAGATTAAGAGAAAGAGAAGGAGGAAGAGGGAAAAGAGGAGAAGGTGTGATAAGTAAGAGGAGGAGGAAGAAGAGGAGGAGTTGGACGAGGTGGTCGGAACAAAGAGGGCCGTGGGGTTAATTGGCTGGACGAAGCGGCGGTTGGCTGACAAGAGGGGTTGGCTGATCGGAGAGGGGGGAATGAGAAGAGGAGAGAATGAGAAGAGAAATAGAAGAAAGACAAGAATACAATAAAGAAAACGATGAATCAAAGCACTAAGCGAATGTTTGATCCCCAGCGATGATGATGATAAAAATAAGAATGGAAGACAAGCGTAAGTAGATAGTAGATATATAGGGAAGAAGGAGGAGAGAGAGGAGAGGAAGCAAAGAAGGAAGGGAAGGGAAGGAAGAAAGAGGAGAAGATGTGACTCGGCGAGGCCAGCGAGTCTTGCTTTTGAAACTGGGGCCGAGTTTTGTGTCGATTTTGTCAGTTGGCGGCTGGACTCCACCGCTCGTAGGGTGACCACTCAAGTTCCTTCTTTCTTTTCCCACTTGACACTTGACTTGAACTGTCGTTTGTTGTTTAGTGAGTGAGGAGTTAGACTAATGTATAAACTAGTCAGGACAAGAAAGTCACTGCAGCATTGGTTAAATAGATAAATAGTTCAATAGCCATCATTCCTGTCATCAATACTAATTCAATGCTCCGCACTCCCGACCGGCGAGGGATCGAATGGAGGCGCTGGAGGGTCGCCGGCCTGGTGGAACCGGCCTGTTTCAAAATGGCGCCTAAAACGAGAAGTGCTTGCGATGAGAGATATTTTGGGAATCCAATGCTACTATTCTTGACAGCTACAGTGCTCCAGTTCCTTCTCATGTCTAAGCTTTGATGTCTGTGGGTAGCAGAGCTGTGATTGTTTCTAATCTATTCTAATACCTGTCAATTTAATATACTAGTAGCATTCTATATTGTTTTGTATCAAGTTGATGGTTGAGTGGAAGGGGAAATCTGCTCGGGTGCCTGAATCATCGGGCCTAGCCAGTCAGGCATCCCACATCAAAAAAATCTCTGAACTTAAAAAGATCGACTCCGCCTGACTTGAACCATGTTTCCTCAAAGTTTCCATTCCACGAACCCGTCACCCCAACAGACTTTCTTGATGATGTCGACGGAGCTGCTGTCCTTCAAGAAAACGAAAATAAAAATAAAATTTAGTATGTCAGGGTCCAACATCTCAACCGGATAATGTCGAAGGACAATTCACCCAAAACGACTTAGTAGCGTGCGGATGTTTTACATCATCCGCCGGTTGAGTGTCTCTGATATTCGGTGCCACTATCGATATTGATGGCTTGCTCCATCCAATCTGCGCCGGCATCTTGCTCCGGGGCTCCACCCTCTTATGCCCCGACGGTGCTTGTTCAGCAGAATTTCATCTCGGCGGCCGTTACGCAGTTCTAAGAATATACACAACACTCACGCATTAGGATTATGGTCCTCGATGCTGTTCGATCATAGTAACACGGGCCCAATATGATCAGACAATCGCATTGACATCGGACATACTAGTAGCACTCTGGTAACATTGCACGGCTATACATGCACCGTAATATTAATCTATCACAGTCCTATTTTCAACGGTAGATCCCTAATCATGACTACCAAGCAACTACTACTAATTACCGTGCATCAACGCGTCAGCTACCGATACCGATTGACACGTGCCATTCTCAGCCTTGTCAAATCCCTCACTCTCACAGACACCGAACCGGACACTTCTTTCCCACTTCCCCCCTATATGGATAGATAGCTACTGGTTAGGGACAACTGACATCATCCGGTCCATCTGTGACGAATCGCTCTACCGTCTCTCCTCGATCCCGATGTCCGCCAACTTGAACGATTTCCGCAGCCACTAATCGATCCCGACCCACTCCGGTTTAAAATAGCAATCCCTCTTCCCCCCAAGCCTTTGCACCGCCATAGCAACGGGGCCAAATGGCAACACTGCGCCCCCAACTGACAGGCCAATAATAAAGATGATACCCAATCTAAAGGAACCACTAAAGAAAGAAACACATCCTCTTAATCATCATTATCATCATCAATCAATCAATCACCCATCCATCAATCAATCCTCGCAAGCCCTACCCCTAACGGTTCGTCGTGACATCTAAGCGAAACCCTCGGGTCAACCCAATGACGTTCACGGGGGGTTAGCAATGTTCATCATAGGGAACGACTATCTATCTACCCATCATCTATCCACCCGGATCATGTCAACCAAGTAACTAGTGCCGGTGACTCCATAGAATGAACAACACTTCTTGGAAGTTTGGTGCAGGGTCCTGCCCTGCTGACCAAGTGATGATTGTGCGTACCTGGAAAATCTTCCCGTAGACGCGCGGCATGACGATCCTCGCTTGGATAAGCCCTCCCCCACCCGATCATCCAGCCGTTTTGCTGGATCAGTGATGGTTGTGGCCCCAAGGATGCTTACTGTTGATGATTACTGTGGAGTAGAGGGCAGTAGGTCAAGGGTGTAACAAACAGCCAAATCGTCGCTTTGACGCCGGCATTTGCCCAAAGTACGGAGTAGTCTACTTTGTATATGCAGGGTTCCGTCACCATCTGTGCGTTCTCGTCACATATCACACAGAGTTTAGTCGCGAGCCTGTTGCCGACTTCATACAGTGTGTTTAAATCATTCTCCTTGCTCTTCTTTCTTAAAGGGCAATATAGCGATTTCGTAGACGCGACGACCCAAGAAGAAACAACACAAGTGCCAAAGGGCAAATGGCCAAGCACATTGGCACTCCTCCCTCCCGGGGAAGTAGTTAGCTATCAGCCGTCCAAGACGGCCCATACATACCATCATCATCATCCTTCCAACAACCCCAACACCTCCCCAGCTGGCGTCGCTTATTTGCCGCACCGATGCCAATATAGGGGCCATCCGCTGAATAGATCAATACACGGGACAAGAGGAGTAGCCATCGCCCACATCCATCGCCCACAAAATTGAGAAAACAACAAACACAAACAGATACACACACAATCTAAACTTATCTTTAGAGAGGAGCGAGAGGGGAGAGGGGATGGGGGAAGTGCCTGCCTTTTGGACGTACGCAACACTCCATAGATCCATCGCAAGGAGCCCCTAAAACTGGGGTAAACCGTAAAGGATATCCGCCGCTGTCCGCGTCTCCCCTTTGGTAGAATTTCGCGCCGACTGCCAGCCCGCCTCTCCCCTGTTGATCGGTGGAGCATTCAAAACTCACTTCTTGCACACATCATCATCCCCATCAGCAGCAGCGTCGGCTCACTTGCAATAATTATGATGATGGCATGTGGTTCGATGTTTTCCTCGGGATTTATGTATTTATTTACTAACGAGTTGGGTTCTGGTTACTTACACATGATTACTAAGATAGATCCTCTTGCTTGCTAACTCCTTCTCTACTTTGTAGCTATAGTCTCCTCTACTATAGCGGTTCACACAACAAAGGATGAAGACGGAAGATAGTATATCCTCAGATACTACTCCATATATAGAGATAAACTACGACTAGACACTGCAACTATTGATTTTCCAAATCAGGGAAAAACTGTCGTCCCTAAAAGACTGGGCATCAAACCCTGACAGATCCCCCTTTTTCGCAGTTCGTCACGAGAGCGCGCGCCCTAAAAAAAGAAATCAGAAAAAATCTCCGTTCTCAACGGGACTGGACTAACTACGGAGTACCGTGGGAAGGATTCCGGAGACCTACTGTAAACTACTTAGTCCCTTAAAGTAAGTAAGTAGTAAGAACCAAGTATTTGCAATGGCAGCACAAAGTCTGAGCTTTTAATAGAAAGAAAAGGGTTTCAATAGTTTCATTGCTGATAATAGTCATGATGTGCACACAGATTTTTAGCCTTTGTGTTTGCTATACACACTTACAGCTCATCACTCGGATGGTAGACAGACTGGGCAATAATTCAAGACTTGGCAATTGGCCCTATTATTCATGCCACGGCATTTGATTCATAGAGTCGACTTTGAAGATCCATCCGATGTAGTTCACTTTCCTGATTGCTACATGATTGTCAACCGCCGTTTTTCTCGGCGCTTAAGCTACGTACTACGTACTGTATGCAGTCTTGCGCACACACAATCCGTCTCTCTCGCTCGCACTCTCCCTTTCCCTCTGGCTCTTCCAATCAGATCATCGCTTGCTATTGCGCCATTAGCTAACTACAAGGAACACGGTTCTGACTCGTGAGGGACCACGTCAAAAGTTGACGCACATCCAGCAGACATGTGGTTCGGAATGAGTGCGCGATAATAATATCAACTTATTTCGAGCCATATATTATTATCCTACCTAGTTAGCATGGCTAACTAATATGATAGCTAGACTACTAGCTCATACAATGTCCGACATTCAGACTAGTCAGAGAGCAGCCTAGTCACTACGCACTAAGCTTTGATTAAGCAATTAATGAATGCGACCGTGGCGCCGAGCCAGGCCTGGCTCTTAGCAAATGAAGCCCCCTCATATCAATAGAAACGGGGCCGGAGCTGTATGGAAGAAGTATTTTACCTGTCGAATGAGCTTCTAGACCGATGCTGACAGGGATGCCAAAAAGCGCCGAGAATTATCCACTTCCTGATTTAGTAGAAGAGAGAGAGAGTGTGTGTGTGCTGACTTGCCTGCCTTGTAGGGTATATTCTGCTCGGGATAGAAACAGCGCGTTCGCATCAAAAATAGCCGGTATAACTACTACATCGGAAGATGTGGTAGGCGTCATACGTGGGGTGACAACACCTGACTTTGCTAAATACTAGTATCTATCTACTTCCTTTGTACCTTACAGTAGTAGTAGATCGGCTGCAATCCACGCAAACGACGGGAGAGAACGCTTCCGCTGACGAATGCTTCTGACAATGAGAGACGGTTGAACCCGACATTTTTTTTTCTTCTTTGTCTGCTGTTTCTCTTGTTTTATTCTCCTGTTTATTTTTATTTTTAATATATATTTTTACGCCCTTATCTTATGGAATCATATTTTTGTGGGACTCTTGCACTTGTCACCCAAACAGTTAACAATAGTAATAACAACCAACCCATGAGCACTTATCCGAAGCGACCCTACTAATGAAACCTCCAGATAAAAATGGTACGTATCGAGGTGGAAAAAAGAGAGAGACAGGGGGCACAAGTGGGTCCAGCAGCCAACCAGCCATTGGGCCAAAAGCGGGGAAGAGAGAGCCACAGCGGGATGGTGGTCAGAGCGATGAGTGGCCAACGACATCAGGAACAGCCTGCAGGCTCCACTTTTCCCGACCCTGATTGGACAGCAGGGAGAAACATGAAACAAAGTCTAAGTTGGCATTCAACGTTCTGTGGCTCAGTAAAGCGAGGTTTCTGCCCCCTGAACTTATTTCCTTTTGATTATCGGGAGAGTGGATGATGATGACATCCTAATTTTTTGGAAGGTTTATTTACAAGTGATTGAGAAAAGTGACCAGTAAAATCGAGCCCATCCTTTGCCGCTTTTACCGTTGGGATGTCGAATGTTACTGCCTGTTAGACCGAGAATATTTACGAGTAAGGAAGTTAACTACTCATAGTGGTGATGTACTCCGTAGTTAGTGCTAGTAGTAGTGACGGGACGATGTGCCTGAACTTGATGCAGGTACAGAGTCCCGCGCGGTCCATCAAAGTAAATAATTGCTATCTATTTACTATTGCTTGAAATCCAAAAAAGTTCGAACCTAAAAATCCAGTAGGGGAACCATTGATGACCCAACTAAGTATCTATCTACCGACCCCATTAATTCCACCCCCCTCCCCTGAGCCGAAGAGTTAATCGAAGTGTTCTTCCGGTCGAAAAGAGCAATGGAGCGACCGATCAACAGCACTTGTCTCGCAACGCATGGACAGCTTGGACAGCATGGACAGTAATTCAGGGCCAGGGACGAAAGTCACTTGGCGGCACTAGTTGGTCTAGTCAGACAGGCGAAGGGGCTGGTTGGACCAACCAAGAGACGTGGGTGAGAAGGGCGCAGAACCCACGAGGCGCGAAACGAAAAATGGAGCCAAAGAACTAAAGAAGAGAGGAAAGTGAGAGGGGGGCCAATTCGCGGGATTGCCCCAAACTTACCTATGGAAAGTTGCTCCTCACCCTCTCACTCTCTCACACCGCATGGGCGCTCTGATTGACTCGGGGGCCATCAACTCCACCCGCGTGCAGTTGCGCTCTCCCCTTTTCGTCCCTGAGACGATCTCCAGGTTAATCTCCCGGCTCATACAAAGGCCCCCCGGTTCCCCCCTCTCCCTCTCAGCTCGTTCCTGGTTCTCTCTGTTCTTTCTCTTTCAAGACCAGACTTCTTTGCCTGCTTGAAGCATCCCATTGACTTCGGTCAGCCACTCTTTTAAACCAAACCCCAACGCAAAACCCCAACTAGCCACACTCTCTTTATCTAAACGCAGCTCTCCCTGTGTTTCACATATCAAACAACCCACACATAAAAATCAAATTTATCGACCTTGACGGTTTTATTTTTTACCAACACAACAATTCAAGATGCGTTTCTCTGCTGCCACCGTCGCTCTCTTCGCCAGCCTTGTTGCTGCCATCCCCCAGGATGTCGAGACTGTCTACTCCACTGAGGATGTGACCGTCGTCTCCTGCGCTCCCACCGTCACCAACTGCCCCGGTACCCTGCACGCCACCTCCACCCCCGAGGCCGTCGCTGCTGCCACCACTGGCGGTGCTGAGGGTGTCTCCCCCGTTGGTGTCACCAGCGCTGTCCCTGAGGCTCCCTCCGCCACCCCCGCTGCTGGCAGCTCCCCTGCTGGTGGTGCTGGTGCTGGTGTTGTTCCCTCCGGTGCTGCTCCCTCTGGTGCTGCCCCCAGCGTTGTTCCCTCCGGTGCTGCTGCCGTCGGTGGTGGCGCTGGCACCACTGCTGCTCCCCAGGTCACCGTTATCCCCGTGACCACCTGCGTCCCCACCGTCATCATGTCCACTAGCACCATCGGTGGTGGCTCCGGTGCCGGTGCCTACGGCTCTGGCTACCCCAGCGGCAAGCCCGCCAAGTCTTCCTCCCCTGTCATCCCTAGCGGTGCTGGTGCCTACGGCTCTGGCTACCCTAGCGGCAGTGCTACGTGAGTATCCTGGCACCATCTCTAAAAATTAAACAGCCATACTAACAATACGCACAGCCCCTCTCCCTCTTCTGCTCTCTACACCGGTGCCGCCAGCTCCGTCAACGGCAACGGCTTCGCTTTCGCTGGTGCCGCCGCTGCCGCCGCTTTCTTCTTGGCTTAGATTCCCCTTCTTGTTTATAGTAGCCCCGGGTCACTCGTGAGTCCGGTTGCCGCTATAGGCGGGGATCTTGGGCGCATGTGAATTGGTGAAGAGTGTCGGGGATTGGTCCATACTTAGTTGCGGTTTTGCTTTGGGAGAGAAATCCGATTCGTTGCTTTTTATATCCTCTCTTATACCACTTTTATTCGAAATTTCCTTCTAGATATTTACGCTTCCCGGATTGCTTCGGAGTTCTGTTGTGAAGCAATTGGTGGCTGGATACGATTAATGTAACCCATGAAGCTTTCACATACCCAATTCGAAGCACTTTAGAGATTTAATCAATGCCGTGCTAGAGCTATCATTTCCATCCGGTCCAGATCACCACGCCATCCACCTGCTGTAGAACTGCCAGACGGTCGGACATGTCCGACAATAGGGGCCGGCCCGGATCTCAATGGATGGATCTACCCATCACCTAAGTGATTGCCGTGATGGCATGGGGCAAGTTGGAAGAACTCAGCAAACAAGTACTAAGCAGGAGGCTGAATGGAGGGCTGAATCCGGGGAGGCCGCTCGATCTTGGGGGCTACACAGCGTAAATGTTTCAAGATCTCGAATTAAATTTTCTTTTCTATCTCTTTCATTTATCGGCGACCGGCTGTGATCCGAATTTTGCGGTTCGTCTCGTTGCTGGTCTGCGCCCACTGGTGTGTATCACATTGGTCTCGCCAGTGCGGGCGATTGATTGGGTGGCTGTTTCAGATATTCTCTGGCTTAAAACCCGAGTGTTGCCCTCAGCCCTATTTGTGCCATATTGATTACTTCTTTAGGGGGGTTTTGCCGGGCGATTCTGGAAGGGATTGACGATCGTCAATTAGTAGACGCTGTCAGTGTGTAGTAAGTAAGTATCTCACGATCGTATGTGTGTGTGTGTGGCTGTGTTTGGGGGTTTGGGAGATCCGTGATCTGGAGGTCGGGTTTGACGCTATTCTCCTTTAGCCCCGGGGCCACCAACAAACAACACGTGCTGTTTTACTTGGTTGACAGCGGCAACATCCTCGCTGTGTTTGACTCGACTAAGGCTACCACATGGCCATCGCGATGAATAATGCAATGCAATATAGATTAGGGATGGAAGTAGCATCCAGTGCTACGCAAAATACTTTTCCCCTCTGAATTGGACTCATCCAAAGCTCGGACGACAAAGGATGTGGCAGTGTTGATTTTCCAACCTCATTCGGAATCCTTCAACCAACGAACCAAATGCCCCCATTATCGCGCAGCCTCCACTTGAGGACATGCTATATCGCTCAGACCCATGGAATCTCTCCAGATGGCGTCTAAATTCATAGGGGCTTCTACCTGCGCTTATGATCGCCTCCACGATGAAACTACAGCTTCATGGTTACGATAACAGCACATCCAGTCTCGGACCCCAAATCCTTCTTCTGCCCCAGTTCCGGGCCCATCCCGAAGGGCAAAAAAGAAACTATCGAGCACCGGGAGATCCTTCTACGGTGGGGTTTAACGTGAGCCGACGGATTGGCTTCCTTGTTCGCTCCTAAAACCAAGGCGAACATCAGCCGGACAAGCCGAAAGCTTTGCCAACAGGGCTTGCGCCCTTTCCGCAGCTGCAGTCCACTATTAGGAGGTTGGAACGAACTACGAGGAGGAATCCACTGTGAGGCGCAAGGCGATTTCCTGACTGTCATGGGTGTTGTTGGCTCGTATTATCGTGTCTTTGTTGCTGTGCCCGTCAAAGAAATTGGCCATAGCCGTGCAGACTGAAGACAACACCACCCTTTTCCCACAGGGGACATTGTTCCAGCACTGCCTCAAGTATCAACAACTGTCTGATATATGAACTGTGCTCTTCCCTTTTGGAACCCCCCAAGTATATTTTCACTCGATTCTTGACGATCATACTTTTCCACACCGACTTTAATTCCTTCATCGGTACATTGGTCGCGTGCAATGATCTTTCTGTGACATTTGCGTACAATTGCTTGGCCTACATCCACTTTTGTTTCTACCTTCTCTTTATACCGTCTTTCACATCTTCACAATGGACCTTTCATCCTTAGAAGGCCCGCCTATCGCCGACACTCGGTTCACCGTCTCGCCGCGACGAGCAAATGTTCCCAGTATTCGTCTGGACACGTCCACTCCAGTCAGCCCGATCAGCCCATTAACACCTCATGACCTCCCTCCACGACCAAGCTCGACGGACGCGATCTTCAGTCCCGTGTCTGAAGCAGAGTACTCATTTGCGCTGTTCCACCACCACCATGAGCCGGAAGACAATCTCAGTTTCTACCAACGCTGCCACAGTCCACAGCCCCCGGTCACAGCCGACGAGCATGAGTACCAACAACAATCAAGGCCACAACCAACACTAAACCTACCTCCTCCCCCTCCTTCGTCCTCCTTCTCCCTTCACCCGTGGAGCTCCCGAACTCGAAGTGTTTCAGACCTTACCCCTCACCAATCGCCCAGCCCTCTGCTGAGCACAACCACCACAACCACAGTCACCACTCAGGCCGTGACCACCACCATTACCACCGAAGGTAACCGTCTCGTCTGGCTCGAGCACGAGAAGCTGTGGTTCTTGAAACCTTCCTCATGCCCCTCACCACACCTCAGCCCCGACTACGCCGTGACCACCAGACCCACCCCTGATGCTCACTATGCGCCTTACCGCCCTTCTTCGTTTCATGGCCAAGTCCATCTTGCTGCTTTAGCACAGAGGAGAGATGTACCCCCGCCATATGGGCGGCACATCCTTAATCGGCCCTTGCCTCCACTACCTACGGATGACGACGAAGACGAAGGCTCGAGCGGATCTCGGTGGACGGCGGTTGCGAGGAGGAGGGCCAGGGCCAACCGGGCTGTGTCGAGGTGAGGGTGCCCGTTTAGTGTGTTGGGAAAGAGGCGGAGTTGTAGAGATGGATTGGAAACGGATATTATCAGCTGCTGGCCGGCTATCCTAATTTACCATAATCCTTGTTCTAGTTTAGTGGCGTCGCCAATTATCAAGCATAGCCGGGATGTTTAGGAGGTGCATGTGTATTAGAGGGGGCACTTCCAGAACACCCGCACTACCACCACCACCACCAATCTTGCCCTTTACTACTAATTAAGCTGAATTTAACCCTATTCAACATGTAGATATAACTACTAACTTCGATTATCGCCAGATTCCCGCAGCAGTTGAAAACAAGCAGCAAAAAAAGACACTTACTATATCTCTTTCACCTTGTGATAGGATTTACTTGTCAGGGTAGAGAACCTGTCGACTAGGTAAGGAATTGATCACTGGTAGGACGTTACGATGAAATGAACGATAGTTGGGTCATGTAGAACGTAGTTATTGATTGACTACAGAGGATGGTCCTCCACCTACGGGTGTACTATCTAAAGCGGGTCTAGCCGGCATAATCGTTGCACGCCGTTTTTGGTACACCTGTGTTGGTGCCAGCACCAACAATCTTCCATGTTTTACTTGCGCTACTAGTTAGCTTACTAATCTTAGATAGTAACTATTACCCAACTACCCAGAGTATATTGTATAATAAAATACAGGGTTTACGTCCATCAACCGTCCAATCGCCCGTTTAACTCCAAAGACACGTTGTACAACAATAACTTACCAGGTCTCTTCGCTCGATGACCTTGTCGACTTCGACTACTTTTAACATCTTGATAACGACATGCCAGAGGTTCAACTTCCCCCTACTACTACTGCTCTCCCCCTCTCTATCTCTCATTCACTCTCTACCTACTCTCACTACGCTTCCTCCCATACAATTCTCTCTCCCATACAAAAAAGTACTGCATATACCGCACTGGTGGGTTCCCTACTAAACATTCCGCTCTTCAGCATTGTCTCTATAACACTAACGCAATCTTTTTTTCTCCTTCAACAGAGTTGTTTACCTTTTCAGAAGCTTCTTCTGATCATCTGTTTCCCTTGATTTTCTCATCCTGTTTGCGCAACCTCGCTGTCGCGCCTCTGGCGAGTAAGCTACCGCTGCCAATCCCGTTATCGAGGAACAATCTACCGCCGTCGACCCCGTCGTTGACGAGCAATCCGCCGCAGCCACCAAGCAATCTAGCATCGCCGTTTGTTGACGACTAATCTACCGCCACCGAGCCCCGCAAGCAATCTAGCGAGCAATCTAATGCCGCCGCCGATCCCGTCGTGGCACCGGTTGTTAACCCATCACTACCGATGGACCGGCTGCTTTTGATACTGGGAAATATTGAAGAAGGCTCACCCGGTTGGAACGCAAAGAGTAGACAACGTTCTTGCTTACGATTCGAGGAGGAAGTTGTTGGTGCTGGCACTAACACAGGTGTACCATGCGATGGCGTGCATCCATGATTCTGCCGGCCAGACCCGCTTTAGATACTACAGCCGTAGCTGGAGGACCATCCTCCCTAGTTAATAATCAATAATAACTACTAAGTAGGTAACGTTCTACATCACTCAATTGTCATTCGTTCATCGTATCGTGCCACCAGTGGTGGTTGGTGTCACGATCCCGTCCTGGTGCGCTTCAGGAAGTGAATCGCCCGATACTAACCACTCGGCTAACCGGTAAAAGACTAGAATTCTGAGTCAACAGACTCAAAACGCGCATCACTCATAAGCTTGCAGTGAATACCGAATGTAAGTATCCGGATCCTTACAGTCGGGAGCGCGTTGCTGTTGGTATTCCAGAAGTACAGTGTATCCCGCATGCCCCAAGACCCCTCTAGGTACTTCTGCATCATTCGAAGTACCCAATTTGTCATAAATCATTTACTCCTTTCCCTCACTTCTCATTTCTTACCCGGTCACCATGGCAAACCCCAATACGAAACCACGCACAATTCTGCTCAGAGATCTAGTGAATGACCATGGACAAACAAAATTTGCTCTCAAGACACCCTCAATTCACTCCACAGCTCCGCGTGT